TATTAAATATAATACTACTACTACTACTACTGTAATTCATTTCATTGGGAGACAAGAAAGATTATACATACATTATATGTTAGCTTTATACCCGGGTCCCCCACCCCCTCCCAGGGTCAAATTACTGACCCTCCCCAGGATGCAACCCCACAATAATCTGACTAATACCTGGATACTTACTGCTAGGTGGACAGGCGCATGAGGTGAAAGGAAACGTCCCCACCATATTTGTCCCACCGGGGATTCGAACCCGGAATTCTCTATTGAGAGTCTGGAACAAACGACTGTACTACCGGGACCCTCTTATGTTGCTCTATATGTTATAGAACATTTATTTTTTATGTTTATATGCATATGTTGTTGCCCAAGATAATACTGTAATACAATGCATGAATTTTCATTATCTGTATTCAGAAGAGCATGCATAGTTTGCCTAGTTGCAAACTATGCATAGTTGTTTCGCTTTTTATGCATTAGTTGCCTAGTTTACAATTTCCTTGTTTTTTGTTGCTCTAAAAGCAGGTTGTAAACTATTAGACACCTTGCAATTTAGTGTTCTTTAAGTATTCAATTCAATTTAGTGTTCCAGCAGTGTGGTGGGTATTATCTCATAACCTGTTATACACATTTATTCATGTGTATTTATAAATGGATATGTGGATGATGTCCTGGCATAAATATGCATATAGGCTGTCTGCACTAGTATCAGACTCAAGCCAGCAGAGCCTCAGTCAGTAAGATTAGCCATAGTGCCACTTGTATTGAAGTGGCACTATACTATTGCATAAGTATTGAACTAATTTATTACTTATGAATACTGTTTATAAATGGAAATACAGTGGTACCTCGCATAACGAATTTAATCCGTTCCATGTTCGTCATGTGAAACGGACGTCATACAAAACGAGTGTCCCCCCATGTAACCAGTGTGATGCACTTTATTTATTTATTTATGCATATACAAGAATGTACATAAGGAATGTGAGGATACAAATATGGTAATTACAGTCTTGTAAAGCCACTAGCACGCGCAGCGTTTCGGGCAGGTCCTTAATCTAAGAAAATTTTAAGGAGGTAAATACTTGCAAAATTTATAGACAAAAAAATGATAAGTTACATGAAATGAAAAAAAAGATGAGAGAAAATTGTAGGTACAGTATATTAAAGCACATAGGTAGCTAAGATTGATTGCAATGACAGCTTGAATGGTAGTTGACAAAAATTGGTAGGCACAATACAGCAGAAACAATATAAGATTGATTGCAATGACAGCTTGAATGGTAGTTGACAAAAATTGGTAGTCACAATACAGCATATGGCTAGCACATAAAAGAAGACAGCAATGAACACAATGATAAGGTTGTTTGATATTACATAAAAATTAGGAGATTGGGTAACACTAGGTACTGTGACTGTGTTCCCTCCCTTATATTTCTCCCACGCCTGCAGTAAGAGTCATGTCCACTTTACCCAAGCGTTCTCTACGTCGCAGGCATCAGTTTGGTATATGTGGGAGAGTGGAGTGTTCTCGAAGTGCCGAGAAATTTATAAAAGAAGAGTATTTTGGGCTGTGGTTTAGGCCCTTTAGGAAGCCAATATGGCGCTGGCTTTTCTGTTTTCCCGCCAAAACTGTGTGACGTCAGTGACACCAGATTGGTCACCGACAGCGACGTGGCACAGAGAGCCAATGAAAACCTCCTGTGACGAATATGACGTCACGAAGGAAGGGGGGTCCGGTCATCGCGCCGCGCTGGCGCCATCAGTCTAAGACAGCACGTCAAGGAGGTCGGACGTGCGCTGGAGGGTCCTGTCAGTTGGACAGTTTACCCCGTCTCCGGAAGACTTACGCATCACCCGTGGTCTGCCAACACCTGTGGGGTCTTCCTTCGTTCATGTGTTGGACCAGGCGGAGTTACACCAGTGATCATTCAGCCTTCATTAAGGGCTGATCAAGTAATCCGCTGATTATTTAATTCAGCCTGATGTTGCACCAGGCTGATTAACCCTAACCCCTAACAGGTTAAGAAAGAAATTTCGTTTAGCTTGAGAGTAGGCACAGTTGATGAAATGCAAAGGATAACCAAGGCGAGAGAATGATTTGTAGATAAAGGCAATTTCAGAATCACTCTCTCGCCTTGGTTATCCTTTGCATTTCATCAACTGTGCCTACTCTCAAGCTAAACGAAATTTCTTTCATCCTAAACCTGCTTCCAACACTAGTAGCACTGTACTATGCCTTCCTTTCATATCTGAACTCAAAACTTTTACCAATACCTTTCGTCCTCTTGACATTAAACTCGCCTTTCGACAAACTAACACACTTCGTAGCAATCTAGTTCACACTGCTGCTCCTGCTTCTAATGCTGCTGGTGTCTACTCTATTTCCTGTTCATCTTGTCCTCTCCAATACTTTGGCGAAACTGGCCGTACACTGAATGACAGACTTAAAGAACACAAGAGAAGTGTTAAGTCTGCAGACACTAACAATGCTCTCTTCTGCCATGTGAGGGATTCTAATCATCCCATTGATTGGTCTTCCTCCAAAATAATCTTTCCTGCCTCTACTCTACACAGACGCCGTCTTGTAGAATCGGCTCTTATACACAATGTACCCAACATGAACTTGAGTCCTGGCTTTGTTGCTGTGGACTCTTCCCTTTCACAGTATATACTCAAATGCTCTAATCTTTCTAACAAACGTGACTTAACATAAGCTTACCCCTTCCATTTATCTTTCTTTCTCTTTCCTTTTCTTTCTCTCTTCTCCCTTTTTCTGTTCATTGTCTTCTCCTACGCTCCCTTGCTATCCTCTTCTTATTCCTATTACTATCTCCTTCGGTGGTTATAATGGGAGCTGCCTCGTATGGGCCAATAGGCCTTCTGCAGTTCTCATTATTACTACTATCCCCTACACCTTACGTTCCTCCTCAGCTCTCTCTTGCCTATTTATTGCTTGTCCCTACCTCCTCATCACAATCGATTTGAGAATGGTCCAGGACGGACCGAAACGTCGTCGTCCCTTCAACTTCTAGTGTGGTCTGGTCAACATACTTCAGCCACGTTATTGTGACTCATCGCCTGCACTGCACTGTATTGTCCCCTTTATAGTTGCGCATATCTTTGCTGAATTTCCTGACTTTCAGGACATGTGTCTTACTTCCCAACTGTTCCTTGATAAAATCCCTGGACAATCAAATGGTTATCTTGAGTTGATTTCAGGGCTTTTTTTTTTTTTTTAGTGTCCCTGCGGCCCGGTCCTCGACCAGGCCTCCGCCCACAGGAAGCAGCCCGTGACAGCTGACTAACTCCCAGGTACCTATTTACTGCTAGGTAACAGGGGCATAGGGTGAAAAACTGTTCATTGTTTCTCGCCGGCGCCCGGGATCACAGGATCGCGTGCTGTCCGCTCGGCCCCCTGATGCCTTTGATGTCACTCGCATTACCTGGAATGTGTTTTGAGAGTTCTTTTACCTCCCAAGCCCGGCCTGAGGCCAGGCTCGATTTTGATAACTTGGTCCAACAGGCCATTGCTTGGAGTGGCCCGCAGGCCCACACATCCGCTAGTCTGGTTGGTCCAGCACTTCTTGCAAGAACCTTCCCAAGTGCCTCTTGAATACTTCCACCCTTGTTCCGGCAATATTTCTAATGCTTGCTGGGTGTTTATTCCTCATTGTGCCTATGGCACCTTTACTCCTCAATGGTTCTACTATGCAAATTTGTGACATGGCCATCCACTATCTTCCATATATATATTATACGATAACTTTCTAATCTCCTTTCCAAAGTAAATTTGGCATACCTTGAGGTGCTTCCGGGGCTTAGCGTCCCCGCGGCCCGGTCGTCGACCAGACCTCCTGGTTGCCGGACTGATCAACCAGGCTGTTGGACGCGGCGGCTCGCAGCCTGACGTATGAGTCACAGCCTGGTTGATCAGGTATCCTTTGGAGGTGCTTATCCAGTTCTCTCTTGAACACTGTGAGGGGTCGGCCAGTTATGCCCCTTATGTGTAGTGGAAGCGTGTTGAACAGTCTCGGACCTCTGATGTTGATAGTTCTCTCTCAGAGTACCAGTTGCACCTCTGTTTTTCAACGGGGGTATTCTGCACATCCTGCCATGTCTTCTGGTATGGTCCCAATAATTTAGAGGTTTTATCATTTTTAAGCGTGCCAAATACGTTATCTATTCTCTCTAATTCAGAGATCTCTCCTGCTCTGAAGGGGTAAGAGTAATACTCAGGACAGCACTAGTGATTTAAAAAGTATTAGCATTGCTGTAGGGGGGGGGGCCTCTGGATTTGAACGTTCTCGTAATCCAACCTATCATATTCCCAGCCGCCATTATATTAGTGAACATAACCAAGCAAAGTGTCAGGTCGTAATTAATTAATTCCCAGATCTTTTAAATGTTGCTTTCCTTCCGAGTAGGTCCGGTTGTGTCCTGTACCCAGTATTTCATTTAAATTTTTTGCGATTCAAAATTTAAAAAGCCTCATGCGCTTTTGTTTTCGTAGTGGCTTCCTTAGTGCCTCTTGATTATCCTGTGACTTTGGTGGTGCTACAGTCTCCCTGGCTTGGTGCATTGATAATTACATAAAAGAATGTTTGCAATGGTAATCATGTTGGATTTCAGTCTTGTAATTATCATAATCTGCAGCAAAACATTCTGTACACTTCATACCCCCTGTTCTGGTTAGAATAACAAAGTACAGAATATGGTTTTGAAGGAAGCATTAAGGAGACAGCCAAGGCCTGTCGTAGTAAAATTTTGTTTACTAACTGGTAATTCCTTATCAAATTTGCAAATGCCCAACTGACTGTGTATGCAAGTTGAAAGGTTCAATGTATATTTTAACAAGCACTACTGCCATCACTGCATTTTGTGTACAGTACAATGACTAGCTTACAGCCTACATAATTACAATTCCATTGTTAAACTACAATGCTATCAATATAAAATAACTACAAACAGGAACACACTTGCAGGGTTGGAAGGAGAAAGTATTTCTTCTGGTATTTATTCCTTTATATGAATGCAAAATACATTAATCACATTACAAAATGGATGGCTTCAAGAGTTTTAAACTATGGACACAAGTAACAGTGTCTGGTCCTTATGTATAAATCAAATCTCTTATATGTGAACATCCAGTCAAATTGCAGGACAATACTTGCTATCCAGGGGACCATAGGCACATCTTAGACTACCAGATTTAATGTTCATACCATCATAACCATTTTCTGGACATGTGAAATCATAATTAAAAGACAACTTGTCTTTACAAATATTTCACTACAATGGAAGAACAGTGTGTGTAAAGATGTCATCGAAGTTCACAAGGAGTGACAACTCATTTCGTAGTGGTCTAGTGCATATAAATGGCCATCCATACGAGTTATTTTCTCTTGGGCCAGTTGATGCATAGTTAAATGTGATCCCCTGAGGAGCAAATAGTGTTTCTCGTTAGAAATTCTAGATACCACTGGACATAAACTCTATACGAGGTAATAACTTCAAATACTAATGTATGCAGGCAATGGGGACCGAGTACCTAATTCCTATAAGAGTTAAGGCTCTGTCTTACATTATAGGGAAAAGCTTGCTCCAAACTGCATAAAATGAAATTGAAACCTGATCAACTTCCACTGGAGCTCTGCCAAGAGCTAATATTTGTTGGGAATACGAAAATAATTCATAATTACAAATCTTAGTATACAACTTTTCATAACTTGGAAAAAAAAGAAACCACCATGTACAGGCCTTGAAAAGAAAATGGCCCTATTAATCCAACATCTGTTGCACTGAATGGCAGGCTTTGGCAGATTCAGTAACAAAAATAATGGTCATTTATAACAAAACTGGGCTGCATGGAATGTCTACTTTACCTACAAAAGCAGGGATGACTTCAATAAACACTTTCTCAAACAAGTAGCCAAATCACACTTTATGAAACTTTATTTAGGTTTAAAAACCTATGATAGATTCAAACAAAAGCAGAACACAAATACAAACTATTTCCAAGCAGATTTTGGCAATCAATTTCTATTCATTAGGAGCATCTTTCTCGACAAAATACAATGTCAAGAAGGTAAACAAGACGGGAAAATATGGGGAAAGGGCACTGATAATTCAAGTGTGGAGGGGAAAGGGGGGGGGGGGGATTACAGAAAGTTCTGGCGAGTGTCCTTTGTCTTTCTTTTAGTGGTGACAACGATACCTTTGTACACGGACAATGGCTTCAATTATCAGGTACAGACATACATACATATAGGGGAGTAACTTAGATGTTAACTTAACTGCGATTGATCTCGGCAATGCCTTTCACTAAATACATTCTAGGACCAGTGCATACAACCTCTCCTCTTAAAATATTCCTAAATTTTCTCTACGTGACAAATGTTTACAAGATAAAGGATAAAATACAATCTATTACACTGCTAAAACAAAAATTATAAATTATGTTAGGGACCTTCCTCAAACCAAACTCGGCTAAGTAAACATCTCAAGTACGTCCCACAGAGAAAACCGAGCTAAGCAAAGGGGCAATATAGCCTCTACATGAAAGAGTACAACACCTAAACAGTCAGGGTCTTTGCACAGGAGTTAAGGCAAGAAATATATCTGACTACAACCCTCATGGAAAGATACTTCAATTCAGAGGGGACCGACTGATAGAGGCTGTGAAACTGGAAAAGCTGGTCTAGGAAGAGTAATCTTGTAGTTAGGTTTTAAAGAGTAAAGGAAGTTAGCTTGTCCTACATGATGTGGGACATCCAAGATGAGTAATAGAAGGATTTAAGAAATTCTCATAGTAGAAGTACTTGGGGGCGAGATGACAACAGTTATTAGTAATCCATATGTAGAATAACATGAAACAAATATTATGACAATAAAATTGTACAAAAATACATCGGTGATTACTTTGGAGCTAGTTTATTTAGTCAAATACCTGAATATTCATAGTTAATTAGTGGACGTTAGGCTTCCAAGACGAAGTCTAAATAATGACGAATTTCATCATCCCCTTCCAGATATTTCTTTCCAAATGGCAAGTTTAATGTGGAGAATCTATCAGTAGATGGTGAGTTTAAGCAGAAAGAAATCAAAGTATGCAAGTCTGATATGATCATAAACTGAAATACTGGTTTGAAGTAAAAAACTATACAGGTTATCCTTTTGATTAACAGTTACTTCAAAATATTGGATGGAATCCTAGTCGTCACCTGTGAGGTCATTCCACTGACAGTGCTCATTAACCGATTTGCTTACCCATGCCATCACTGAAACCATGTATGCCCTGGCAATGCTCTGTGCCCTACAAGGAATACTCCTGAGCACCAACTTAATAATCCCCATCAAAAAACACTAATTAGCATTTACAAGAGATGTAGTACTTCTATAACCAATGACATTTGACTTCCAATCCAGCTTGGCAGCGTACAACGACGACAAGCCCAACACTTTTTTTAGCGGTACTCAGCTAAAATTCTACATCATGAGCGTCAGTGTTATGAGAGGCTCCTTAATCCTACAATATACATTCTACATCACGTGTGTAACAACTTTTCTTCCAAATTAATTCTTAATCTATTTTTTTTTTTTTTTTAGCCTTGTTGCATGTGTTAGTGTGTCTGCTTCATCAACTTGAGAATGTGATGAGTGATGGACATGGTGTGGGTGCTTCAGTATCTGCGACCTGCCTGACCTCCATATTCACGCACACTGTCAAGAGAAAGTTAAACATAAATAATGCATCAGGGGAAAAAAAAAATGTTATTACTATCAATGGCAAAATATTTAAGAAAATGAGATGCCTGTAGTTATTGTTACCTAGTCTGATCATGATCAAAGTCTGGCGTGTAGTCGTGGTCTCCTCCATACTCGCGCACACTGGTGGGATAAAATAAAAAAAACATAAAGCTAACGTAAGATGCAAACATGCATTATGTATCCAATAAAAATTAAGTGCTAGGAAGTAAGTTGTAGTCTTGTTTAACACGTGAATAATACTTTCATAATGCATATGGGCACCAAAGCTTCTCTTGTAAGGGATAATCACACACACAAAAAGAAAAAAAAAAAAAGAAAGTTAATTTAACAGTAAAATTTCTTTTGAGAGGGAGGAAAGTACTTATGAATTTCTACTCAACCAAGTAAATATTTTCAATCTGGAACAAAAATAAATCATAAAAGGTGACCTTCAAAATTTATGACTGATAGCCTAAATGTTAAAAATACCATGAAGGAACAAACAATGACAAGGTTTTCAGAAAACATGAATTGTGCAGGTATCAGCATATACCCAGCAGAGTAAAGAAAGCTGTCTAGATGGAAAAAAAAGAAAAGGGGGAGGGCATTACAGCCAAGAGTTGCCAATCCAGTTCAATAACCTAGGTCAGAGGAAATGCAAATATTAAGAGATAATTGCATTCATTATTGAGCAATGGTTCACAATCATTGAATAGCAACAGATTCCTAATAAAATCTAAATCTGTTCTTACAATTTCTGCTTCTTAGCACTGACCCCAATCCATTAATTGAAGCAAATGTCATGGACTCTAGAATTAGGCAGTGACAATATGCAGTTATCAATGGTTACAAAGATTCAAAATATATACAGTAAGTCTACACTTTGCAAACTTTGTAGTATTACATTTAGTAAGTACTAAGTAAGTACTTTGTGGTATTACATTTAGGTTGAGTATGTGCACCAATGGACTTTGCATATATTACCAAATTATGGAGACTGGAGGCAATGTTGAAGGGTGTTTGGCACATGGAAGGGACAATGTACATTTTTTTCTTGTGTTCTTAATTCATGACAGAAAAATACTAGAAGTTTTAGTTTTTAAGAACCATTACCAACTGCCATCAGTATTATTAAAAGAAAATTAGCCAGGGTAGGTGCAATTTTAAATCTAAAAATCCACAACAGGAGGATGGGCTGAACAATTTTGTTTACAAGTTTTTATTTAGATTTTTAAATATTGTTCTAATGTTTGTCAGCTTACCATATGCGGCTAGTATATTATCCTGTCTTTTCTCCAAGTGCAGGCTTGGAATTACCACAAACTACTCCAAAAGCCCCCCCCCCCCCCTGTGGTGTGGTGACTTCTGGTCTCCCTTTCCCAACTTCATAACCTTACACTTTTAGGAGGTTCAACACTAAAAACAAATCACGCACATTACAAATGAATACTAGAGTATGCTTAATGTGCATCAACATTCATCCCATAAGTCTAGCTACAGTGAGATTGCACAAGACTTACTATGTTCCACATTCATGCTGAAAGTTCTGTTGGTTAAAGTAAATTATTCAAAATGAAAATTTTTTAAATATCAATACACCACCACTTCATTGGTTGTATATTATGAAATACAATCTGCTCTTAATTTCTATCAACGTTTCAGTAGTAATAGCTGCAGACATGAGCAGCAACAGTAGAGTAGCAGCACCAGCAACATTAGCAGAGCCACCAGTATTTCCCTTGCCATGCAGGTTAGTGACCGATGCAGTAGGAGGATTAGTGATTTCTTGTTATCTAGCACCAAACAACAAAATCACTAGTCTTCCACACCACATGAGCCTGTTGTTAGTTGAGTGCAGTTGTTAGTAGAGCGCTGTTAATTGCGAACTCGGTATAGGGTTAGTATGGCAACAAGAAGTGAGCAACATAGCAAAGTGTTAGATTAGATAACTTTAAAATAGCATGGTGAACATAATGGGTATGTTGCAAAAATCTTGTCTGGCTTCACCTATTCTATATTTTGACAGTTGAATGTCAAAATAGAGAGGAAAGGGAGTAAACCTGAACAGAGCTTGCACAATCCATTAAATTTTAGTTCTATTTGAACACACTATCCACAAGGTTGTGAGACGCTGCTAGTGTGTAGCATGTGAAGATTTCAAAAGGCATATAGAAATTATATAGCTGTATGTATACAGAGAAAGTCTCTGCTACCAATTTGAATAGGCCCCGTTCAGAAAATAAGACATTTTAATATCTGTGGAACTTCCTTAAATGCACAAATCTATTACAAGCTACTATGGATTCAAGACTACTACTTTTACCATGCATAGATTAGGATAACCAGCAAGCAAACTAGCTCGTTGGCGAACTATAGCAATTAATAATGTAATCAAAGTGGTTAACCCTATCGCATGCCTTTAAATACCAGTTAGTAATCAAATTCACAAACGTACCAATGTATTAACTTACATGAAACACATGAACACCAACAAACTTTTCAAATGTAAGGTTAAAATTTACTACATACTGTATATGGTGTGCATTTAGGGCAGAAAATTCAAAACTGGCATAAACAGAAGTTGCCAAATATTCCTTTTTGGCATAAACATAGTACATTATACAAACAACTACATGTATATTCTCACTGAATTTTTTAACAGTTTGTAAGGTATTTAGGTTATGGAAGCCTGACATCACCGACATGTAATTTGATTTGCCACTACTGAGGGTTTGTGTCTTGTGCCTCTCAGTTTCAAGACTACATCAACACTATTGTGCCCATATACATATTATACTGCCCATATAATGGATGTTAGTCTTGTTCCTAAACGCTTTCTTAAAACAAACATAGTAGTTTGCCTATAGGTCCATACAAGGTATTTCCTATTATTTCTTAACCCCCCACACTTATTTGTCTTATACTACTCTTTAAAGAATCCAAAGTGTATGCTTATCTAGCAACTGGTTCCATAAACTTACAACCCTATTTCCAGTACAAGCAGTACACACGGCATTTACCCACCTCTTTCCTGAACGTTAACCACCAATTCAATGTTCAATGTTGGCATTCAATGTTGGCATTCAATGTTCTATTTAGTGTTAATATATTTAGCACCCTAGCAATATCCAACTGCTTATACTTTTTATCCATTTGTATAGTTCACTTATGTCTACCATGCCCCTTACTCTTCACAGGGAAGGTTCCTAGTGCCTGGGATTAACTGGCATCCTTCACTAAGCTCTTAACATTGTAAGATATATTTACTTAAATAAATGGAAGCATAAAATGAAAGATAAAACTGAAGAATTTTAGAAGTTCTTGCTATTGATTCAAAATATTGACCTTTGCCTATTTCAAATATTTACATAATGATTTTTTGACCAGATGCCTACTAATAATGATTCATCTTTTTCCACATTCAGATTTGTACCTGGATGGGGTTCTGGGGTGGTTCTACTCCAAGCCTTGTGAGAGCATGGTCCAAAAGGCGGTTGCTTACAGCGACCTGCAGGACCACATATCCACCACAGCCAGGTTGGTCTGGCATTTCTTTAAGAAAACTATCCAGTTTTCTCTTCAAAACTACCATTTTTGTACCAGCAATATTTCTTACAACTTGCTGGGAGTACAGTATGTTGAACAACCGTGGACCTCCTATGTTTATAAGTGTTCTCGATTGTGCCTATGGCACCCCCTGCTTTTCTCTGGTTCTATTCTGCATTTTTTTCCATATCGTTCACTTCAGTTTTACTGTGAAGATTTGGGACCTGGCCCTCCAGGTATTTTCCATGTGTACATTATTTGATACTGCTTTTCTCTTTTCTGAAGAGTGCATTTTAATTGCTTCGAGATGATTCCAATAATTTAGGCACTTTATCGTGTCAATGTATGCCATATGTATGTTCTCTGGATTCCCTCTATTTAAAAAATCTCACCTGCTCTGAAGGTGGGGGGGGGGGGGGGGTAAGCAAGTATTGAGCAGTATTCAAGACGGGACAGCACAAGTGATTTTGGTAGTACAACCATGTACTTCATGCATGAGGACTTTGATGGGACTTCATCCCATCCCATGATGGGATTCCTGAATTTGATGGTTCTCAATCATCCTATTATTTTTCTGGCTGACTATATCCGTTTGGTTATGCTACCTATACATTAGGTCGTCAGACATAATGGTGCTATCTATTACTGTCCAAAGTTAGCTTGGTGAGCACAATGCAGGTGTAATAAACCCTGATGTCTTCAAAATACAACATATTACAGCTCTATGTAACAACAAAGAAGTACACTAATAGTTATCCAAATAATTCTGTATAAATTATTAAACCTAAAAATATCTACATTCATTCGTATAATGAAAGTTTCATTCTTCAATGCATTATAGTATGAAATTACAAAATCAGAGCTTATATAGAACACTGAACAGTACTTCTAAACCTAATCTAATATCTTCTTGATAACCTTAATTAATCCTTTTATTATACAACGGCACATGATAAATGTTGTACAGTATACACAACAGTTACACTGATACAGCACAGATCTAATGTGTAATGTATTTATATTAAGATAATATATTGCATTAATATGTAAACATCTCTTGACCAAGATTGATTAATAACAATCAATCTTAGTCAAGAGGAATAGCATTTGCTGCAATACTTTGCGTACAGTACTTATTTACTAGCAAATGAAAGCAATCACTAGTCTAATATGCTCACCTCTGCTGAAGCAAATACTGGGCATGCTTGATCTGAGGTTCGCTTCCATTGATAGTGATGACACGGTCATTGGCACCTGGTCGCGAGTCCTCGATAGAGATGGAAGCTCCAGAATCTGAACGAATCTTACGAATCCTTGCTCCACCCTTCCCAATAATAGCACCAGCTGCATCCTTGGGTATGGTCACCTGAAGAAATTGCCAGTTTAAATTCCCCAGATAATATTGGCCTTGAATCTTTACCAAAAATGAATTCTTTATACAAAAGATTTTATACAAAAAGCCATACATTTTATATAAATGCAGCTCAATTGAAAGTTGCAGGGTGCATCAACTAACCTGAGTTGAGGTTGTGGGTAGATCTCCATTGTGTGGGTCACTGCCATTCATAAATGGTTTGCCCTTGTTCATCATGCCATCAAAGTCACCATTGGGCGGACCTCGCATGGGTGGTGGAGGGCCATGTGGGAGGCCCATGGGGCCACGCCTTCCAAATGGGGGTGGGCCAGGTGGTCCACCAGGTGGACCGCCAGGTGGGCCCATTGGTCCTCGTCCCATTGGTCCACCTGGACCCATGTGGGGTGGTCGGCCCATTGGCCCACCTGGAAACCTGCCCTTGGGCGACTCTCCCCAGCCACCATACTCATTAGCAAAGAATTCATCGAAGTTGTGTGGGTTGTAGGGGTTGTTCATACCCTTGATGGGGCTCTGAAGAGAATATACAAATGTAAATGATAATACAAAGAAATAATACTGTAAATTGCTTACTAATATACTATAGTCATTCCACACCTCTACATCACAGCTCCCAACTTTATCATCTCCGATTTACATGAAATTTGGATAGGATGTCCAAATGTATTAAGCAACATGCATACAATTTTAGCTCTCAGTGGTGTATGATATTCATAGAGCAGGGTTGCCAATGTGATAAAACTTTTTGTTCACAAGATAGAAAAAAATCTTGCTTCTAATTGAGGTAAACCATCATACTGGGCTTGATCTGAAGCTAAGGAAACTATTTTCATTAAACAGTTTTACATTAAATATTGAATTTTCAAATTGCAAGATCACATGACAACCTATGAAAATATATATAAATTATTCATTTTGGGGGAGAAAGAAAGGAAGAAGGGGGGGAAAAGAAAGTAATAAGGGGGAGGCAGGGAAGAGGGGCAGAAACCTGGGTGCAGCCAGATCCCCTTCTAGTGAAATAGTAACACTACTGTATTTAAACATCGTTTTTTTTCCCCTTGCAAGTGGCACTGAAACCAAGTTGGATGCCTCATCTGCAACATGCCATTTTCAGTTGGTAGCAAGAACTATCTGCAGGCAAAGTAATTACCTGCAGTAATTACTAATTACTTGTCAATCATTTGTGGTTTTTGAACATGACTTAACAGCCACTTTGTATAGACGAGCAAGTTGCTATCAAGCTACATGTTACCTAATTTCCAGACAACGTTTACATGAATACTTAAGAGTTGTACTCGCCTAGTTGTGCTTGCGAGCCTTGAGCTTTGGCTCTTTGTTCCCGCCACTCAACTGTCAATCAACTGGTGCACAGATTCTGAAGCCTATTGAGCTTTATCAAATCTACATCTGAAACCTGTATAGGTCTGCCTCCACCACATCACTGCCTAATGCATTCCATTTGTTAACTACTCAAACAATGAAAAAATCTTTTCAAGTGTGTGTGGCACATGTGGGTACTAAGTTTCTACCTGTGTGTAGAAAACTGTGTTTCTACCACTCATGCTAAATAGTTTGTCGTTGTCCACACTGTTAATTCCTGAATTTTCTAGGTAGCAATCATGTCTCCCCTTACCCTGTCGTCCAGAGACGTGAGGTTTAGCTCCCGTAGCTTTTCCTCGTAACTCATACCTATTAGTTCTGGAACTCTTCTGGTGGCATACCTCTGAATCTTCTGTCTTGCATTTAACTCAGCATGGACTCCAGGCTGGAGCTGCATATTCCAGGATTGGTTCGATATAAGTGGTATATATTGTCCTGAATGATTCCTTTCACAAGTTTCTAAAGACGATCTTGTGCTAATCTAGCATATGACAACGAGAATATCCTTTTGATGTGGGCTTCTGGGAACAGGTTCAATGTGATAACCCCCAGAGCACACTTTTGACTTCAGGATTTCACCTCCCAGGATTTTATTGTGGATAAACCTTTAAAGGAAAAACATCTGTATAAATTACAAACATGATGCCCACTTACTTCTTTGATAAGTTCCAATATACGAGTGATGGTAAGGACGGCGCGGTCACGGTCGCCAGTGATTTGAATGACACGGTCTGTGGACTGGGGGCAGCAGTTTGTGTACACTTTGATCTGTCCCCCACATTCCTGGAAAAAAAAATAGAAATAAAAAATTAACTACAAATCAAGTAAACTTTTGAAAGGTATGATTTGAAAAGTTAATAAGGTTACTTAAACCTTTGATTTCATTTAAGTAGCCTGAAAATAATACAACTATAGGAATAGTCGAGAGATTTGGTTGTGGATATAATTCTAATAAATTGCAACATGGGCAGCATATGGGAAGCTGGCAAATATTAGATCATTTAATGACCTAAATATGTTCTTTCAAAGCCATCTACACAGCCTTGGCTTCTTAGCCAGAGCTTAAATGATAGGCTACAAGGTACAGGGAGCAAAATTTCACAATGGGAGAAATTAAACTGAGGGAATATGCTATCAACATACTAAGGAGAATAGACAAGGTGGGAAAGGACACTGGCAGAGAAAATAGAACAAAAGGACATGGATGAAACTGGAAATGCCAAAAGCAAGCAATAGAAAAATACTGTACAGGTAGTCAACAAGTGGAATGCACTGAAAAGTTGTGGAAGCCATCTATGCTCCAGGTACAAGAAGGCAGTGGCTAAAGAGGTAGCATCAATGCCCAGTAGTCACTAACATGAAGCCATCTCAATAAAACTCCTAAAATCTGAGACCATGACATTAACATAAGCTATTCCACCTACCATATTACTATCACAGAACAGCAGCATATCTATTGGTCACGTAGCAGGTTTAGTAAACTTCTAAATATTACTACTACTGGGCATGATTATCTCTTGGATGACTGCCCCTCCTGCTTCAATTATAATTAAGGGAACAAAAATGTTCTAATAGATATTATAAATGGGCCAAAATATTAGTGAGTATCTGGAGTCTGCCTAAACTTTACACTAGATACATATGTAAGGTCATACATTAATTAAACTAACATTCCAAGACATAACGCCTTGTTGAAACCTAGTAATCATCAAAACTACATATAAATTGCGTGAGAATGAATGGTATAGTTATGGTCACAACTGAAAGGTTATATTAAAATGCAGGAGGGGAATGGGATGGGGAAAATAGGAGGAGGAATGAGGGAGAAAAGAACTACTGTATCCCTAAAGGTGGAGTATCAGGAGTGGGTGGATGGTGTCATCTGAACAGAAAACGGGACAGTACATCACTTTCGTGAGCCGATTTAATTTCAAATTACGTCCATTTTTGGCCATAGTGCGCATACGAGCGAAAAGCTATATTTTAAAGAGGACGGGTTGCACTATTATCATCAAGAGCAACAAGTCTGGTTTTCTTTATGTATATGCTCTGGTTCTCAAGACCGATGTGATGAGGTCTAGTCCCAGTCGATTTCTCAGTTTAGTTTTCACAAAAGTTACTTCCGAAAAACTCGTTCAACCAGGGCATTATTGATTAATAAGCTGTATATTTTCAATGCAAACTCAGCCAGGTGAATCAGTCTGGGTCCTACAGACAAAAATAATCAAAATCAATAATAATTAAAATATTGAAAACCTCAGATTTTCAAATCGGAATAAAAAAATATAAACTATCAACAACTGTTTATTTGGTGTTATGCTCTCAGAATAGCACATGATCATTTTCATCAAATTAGAATACAGTACATGTTTTCAGTATAGTTTACTGTAAAAAAAAAAGTCAATATAGCATTTGAAATATAAAGAGCGGTGGTCATATGTAACAATAGGAGCGAGAAAAACATGCTAGTAAGTTAGTGAATGAGCTAACAGGGCAGAGAACTAGTTGTAAAGTGAATGATGTGGAACATTGGCACAGCATTGTACACCAGGGGTTACCTCAACACCCAGCAAAACACCACTGAAAGTGAGAAGGAAAAAAAAGGGAAAGAAAGGAGAGAGAGGAAGGAGAGAAAAAAGAAAGGAGGAGAGAGAGGAAGGAGAGAAAAAAGAAAGGAGGAGAGAGAGGAAGGAGAAAAAAGAAAGGAGAGAGAGGAAGGAGAGAAAAAAGAAAGGTGGAGTGAGAGGGAGAGAAAAAAGAAAGGTGGAGTGAGAGGAAGGAGAGAAAAAAAGAAAGATGAGAGAAAGGAGAGAAAAAGAAAGGAGGAGAGAGGAAGGAAAGATAGCAAAGGGAAGGCGAGAGGAGAGGGAAGGCGAGAGGAGAGGGAAGGCGAGAGGAGAGGGAAGGCGAGAGGAGAGGGAAGGCGAGAGGAGAGGGAAGGCGAGAGGAGAGGGAAGGCGAGAGGAGAGGGAAGGTGAGAGGAAAGAGGAGAGGGAGAGAGCGCGTGTTAGGTTTTCCGTGAGTGCGTGTTGGTGGCGGGTCGATATGCAGGAGATTCTCCTGGGAGTGTGGGGGCTGGCAGTCTTCCCCGCCACCTCCATACACGCGGGCGAGAGAGAGAGAGAGTTCCCCACAACGCGGGAGAGAGAGAGAGAGAGTTCCCCACAACGCGGGAGAGAGAGAGAGAGAGAGAGTGTTCCCCACAACGCGGGAGAGAGAGAGAGAGTGTTCCCCACAACGCGGGAGAGAGAGAGAGAGAGAGTTCCCCACAACGCGGGAGAGAGAGAGAGAGAGAGAGAGTTCCCCACAACGCGGGAGAGAGAGAGAGAGAGAGTTCCCCACAACGCGGGAGAGAGAGAGAGAGAGAGAGTGTTCCCCACAACGCGGGAGAGAGAGAGAGAGTGTTCCCCACAACGCGGGAGAGAGAGAGAGAGAGAGTTCCCCACAACGCGGGAGAGAGAGAGAGAGAGAGTTCCCCACAACGCGGGAGAGAGAGAGAGAGTTCCCCACAACGCGGGAGAGAGTTCCCACAACGCGGGAAAGAGAGTTCCCACAACGCGGGAGAGAGAGTTCCCACAACGCGGGAGAGAGAGTTCCCACAACGCGGGAGAGTGTGTTCCCACAACGCGGGAGAGAGAGTTCCCACAACGCGGGAGAGAGAGTTCCCACAACGCGGGAGAGAGAGTTCCCACAACGCGGGAGAGAGAGTTCCCACAACGCGGGAGAGAGAGTTCCCACAACGCGGGAGAGAGAGTTCCCACAACGCGGGAGAGAGAGTTCCCACAACGCGGGAGAGAGAGTTCCCACAACGCGGGAGAGAGAGTTCCCACAACGCGGGAGAGAGAGTTCCCACAACGCGGGAGAGAGAGTTCCCACAACGCGGGAGAGAGAGTTCCCACAACGCGGGAGAGAGAGTTCCCACAACGCGGGAGAGAGAGTTCCCACAACGCGGGAGAGAGAGTTCCCACAACGCGGGAGAGAGAGTTCCCACAACGCGGGAGAGAGAGTTCCCACAACGCGGGAGAGAGAGTTCCCACAACGCGGGAGAGAGAGTTCCCACAACGCGGGAGAGAGAGTTCCCACAACGCGGGAGAGAGAGTTCCCACAACGCGGGAGAGAGAGTTCCCACAACGCGGGAGAGAGAGTTCCCACAACGCGGGAGAGAGAGTTCCCACAACGCGGGAGAGAGAGTTCCAACAACGCGGGAGAGAGAGTTCCAACAACGCGGGAGAGAGAGTTCCAACAACGCGGGAGAGAGAGTTCCAACAACGCGGGAGAGAGAGTTCCAACAACGCGGGAGAGAGTTCCCACACACTGATGCACTAAAGTTCATTCTAGACGGAGGCGAGATTAGGGAGGCGGAGGTGTGTGCCGGCGAGGCTTGCGGTTGGGGCCGGCACTGTGACGGTCACCGCCGCTACCAACAGTCACTGCTGGGCCTCGGCCATTAGCGTAAGGAGACGCGGAGGAGGTAATGTGTCAATCCTCGCCGTTCAAAAGGTGGGAAGTAATGAACAATGTATTTTAAAGTATAATATCAACGTCTTATGCTGTCATGTTATAACGAGTGATGTCATACAAGAATGTGTTGCATTGCCTAAGAATCGATTACCACCGCCATCACGGGAGGAATGTAACGTAGATGTAGTCCTTATGGCAGGGAGAAAGTCTACATGGAAGGACTTTACACGAGATTTAAGAGTAGGATATAAATATTTTTGACAATACGGTGTTTATGTCAGTGAAAAAGACTAGTGTAAATGAACAAATGAGCAAATCCACCTTTGTAGTGTAATATAAATTATATAGAATGTGACACACTATCACCTTAGATCACTTGGATGTATTAAGAGTATACTTCTTGATAACTAAAGAAACAAGGACATCAATAGTGCACCACATCAGTTGGTCTGGAGGTGAGGTAATACAGTAGGATACAACACGTACGAGGTACAACCACTTTACCCCAAGAGTGTAACACTTGAATGCAGTGTTTGAGTATTTTAAGGGGTAACGTATAATATCAGTTGTGTGCTGTGATTTGTGGATATATATACTCTGGCTTTGTGAGCACCGACGGCTGAGCGGACAGAACACTGGACGCGTGATCCTGTAGTCGCGGGTTCGATCCCGGGCGCCGGCGAGAAACAATGGGCAGTTTCTTTCACCCTGATGCCCCTGTTACCTAGCAGTAAACAGGTACCTGGGTGTTAGTCAGCTGTCGCGGGCTGCTTCCTGGGGGTGGAGGCCTGGTCGAGGAACGGGCCGCGGGGACACTAAGCCCCGAAATCATCTTAAGATGACCTTGAGGCAAATGAAGTAGTGGGTAAAAAGGAAAAAGGATCCTAAGCTACTCTAGCCTTTGGGATTTATCTTATCGTCTCAATAAACGTACTTGAAGTGGTGCGCTATAGTAGTAAAACTATCTTTGCAACGGTTTCTATAGTCACGCGGCGCATTTATACTTTAGGAAAATATTATTTATAAATATTGAAAGGTCAGTATTAAATTTGGGTGTTGAACATTACAAGGCCGTGTTGTGCTTGTGTTGCCTCTGTGCCATCGTGGCCTCTCCTTGCACCTGTGCTTGTGCCTGTATAATTATATATTACAGATATCAGGGAAGAGTTATGCCAAGATAAACAAGGTGGGCAGAAGAGTACGTGTGAACCCGCGAGTGCTGAAGACTGGTTGCTGGCAATAGTTACCAACAAGGTGTTGGTGCTGGTCCAGGGATCCACTATAACAACTCGTCTCCAGGTAAAGTAACTTTCCTTTACGGG